GTCTCTTATTTATACTGACATTTTATGAAGATAGCTCTCAAGGTAAATGCATATATTGAGTGACATTCAAATTTACATTAAATTTACTTACATTAGCACTTAGACTTAAAATAACATCTAAATCTCAAACATTTTCCCCTGTATTTATGTGTTCTAAAGTATATAATAATATGATACTAAGACTGGTGATGCAAAATCCTTAAATCCCAGAGTGGTTTTAATTCTTTTTCCTCCGTGGTTGCCTCTGTGCTAGTGTTGTGAGTGAGAGTCCTCCAAGATGATGAGAAAAGTAATTTCATTAAGACATGGTATCTGATATAAGATGTTTGTTATAATTATTATCTAAAACAGAATTCCAACTCAAGCACCATTGATCAATGTGTATAGAACATCATTCAGGAAATTGCTTGATTGGGAGATTGTAAAGGAAGCAAAAGATAAAGACCTGGAAATGAGAAAATGTGAAAATTCTGATCAAAGACAGATACTTTTTAAAGATAGCCAAGGCAGCAGAACAGTAAAGGGAGCTACCTCAGGCCTTTTTGAACCACCCTGTCAGAAGGAGCTCTACTCCATTATACAGCATCATTCTTGTTTTTAATTCATAGCGCTGGTTGAACCAAAGTTATGTTATTAATTTTATATCTCCTTCCAGAATATGCTTCAGAAAAACAGGGATAGTGTTGATCTGTTTATTGTTTTATCTTCTGAAACTAGAACAATCCTTGACATATACGTGGGCCCTTAATAAATGGTTGCATGATAGATGGATGGACGGATAGGTAGGTGGGTAGATACGTAGATGGATAGAAAGATAGATAAAATATGTGAACTGAACCTAAGAAATAACCAGAATTGGTAGATCTATTTTGACAAAAACAGTTTCCTGGAACATAGAATTCGAACATATTTTTTTATGATGTTTGAAATTTAGATGTTCTATGCAAACAATAAATAAAATTCGAATGTGGAATCATGAAATTAAGTGGGCACACAGTCAGGCTGAGGCTAGATTCAATTAGATGATCACTGAGGGAGCCAAAAAATTTTCTATTGCAGTGTATCATCTTATTTTCACTTTTAATAGTGTTTTTCTTCATCTGAACCTATTCTTTTTCACTTTTTTTGCTAAAAAAAGAGTATTTGAAAAATTACAGATGTGTTTTTAAAAGTAAAGAATTTAATATTGTGCTTAATAAAAAATGTTCTAAGTTAGATTAAAACTTTTTCTCTCCCTTTTAAGGTGCTTCTTAACTTCTGCAGTGTGTCCATTATGCTCTCTCTTTCCTTTCTTTAAACCACTTTCATAAATTCCACAGAATGAGAAGTTGTCCATTAAATCCTTTGGTCCTGTTTTGTTGTGTTCCATAAAAGTTATGATTTGTGATTTTTTGTGGGTGATGTCAGAGTCCAATCAACTATAACATGAACTGAACAGTCAGCCTTTACCGTGGGCAGCCTTTTCAGACTCGTGGAAAGTCAGTGTAATGGATTTGACATTGCAAGCTCACGAGGTGTTTAACATTTATGAGGGATGCATATCTCACACTCAAATCACCAAACTCACATAGCGGCCACCCTTCCCTATGGTCTAAATGCATGCAAATGCTTGTCTTGAGCCAATATGAACCCCCCAAAAAGAAGAGGCTAAACTGATTAAAACTTCCCAGTTTTATAACTTCTCAGTATAGCTTCTCTATGGCTTGCATTTTTAGAATGGCTAAGTTCTAATTTTTTATATGACATCAGCCTCCCTGCTGCTCCTCATGAAGTCTGTCATGTTGCTTCACTCCTCCCTGAAAGCATGTAGCTGTCAGTGCGGCAAGAGTCAAAGCCCAGTGCTCCAGCCGCTGCCTGCTTCTGGCCCCAAGATCTTTCTTCCCCTCCCGTATAGCTTGATCCTACATCCCTCAGGGTAAAATTGGGCCAACCTTCTTCCTTTAGACTTTCAGGAACAAATGACAACAATGTATCTGGCTCATTTTTTGAGTGGACAAGATGAAAACCAAGTGGAATTTCTTGTTGAGATATCAACATTTTTCATTTCTGTTTTTCTCTCTCAAC